GGTAAGCCTTTATTCAAAGGTGCTGATAGATCACGATTGATCAAATAAATTGCAGTGTTCACGGTTTCTGCTCAAAACTATCTTGAGAAGCATACATACAATCTCGTACTCCTAGCACACATTTTGATGGCTCTACTCATGCGTTCAACACCGTCATTTTACTTTGGTGTCTTTGGAATAATGAACACATATTTGATTCCTTCTAAAGCACAATAACTCTTGAATCTCAAATCATGATATTCGTCGCTATTATTCGATTTGAAACGTGTCAACCTCAAATCTGTCTTATTTACAACTATGATTTTTCATTTTCTTAAATACATCAAACACATTATGTTTATGCTTCAAGGAGTACACACAGACATTCCTGGTGTGATCGTCGATGGAAGCGACAAAGTATTGAGTACCTCCAATAACTTGAATTAGAATAGGACCTCATACATCAGTATGAACTAGCTTCAGCATTTTAGATTTTTAAATTTGGCCCATTTTTAGAGAAATAAACATTCTTTTTTCTTGTCATAAACACAATCTTTATAAAAATCTAAATTTATAGACTTTAAATACTGTAGTTTATTTTTAGAAAATAGGGATTTTATACATATTTCATTCATATGACCAAGCTTGTAGTGTCAGAGACCTGCATCAACCTTTATTTCAGATACTCCAATAGATTCATACATCTCATTGATTAGATAAATGGTACCTTTAATGTTGCCTTGAGCCATCATCATTGTCTCTTTAGTCACATTCTACAAATCACTTATGAAAGTGGTCACTTATCCTGATCTTGTAAGTTGACTCATCGAAACCAAGTTTCTCTTCAAATATGAAATATGTTTAACTTCACTCAGTTTCCATATCAATTCATTTAATAACCTAATAACAACATTACAATTTCTTATATCACTACAAGTCGTTATCTCCCAAATATACCTTTCTTAGATTACCTTGAATGTAGTTATTAAACATCTCTTTGTTGGGGTAAGCATGAAAAGAGATACATGAATTTACTATCCACGATTCAGTATTATTTAGGGACAAAATAAGAGTCACCTTAAATTTTATTTGTGGAGACATTTGTAGAAAATTTTTTATCTGGACCTCCACCACCAATCTTCTTCGGAAATTTATAGCCCTTTTTAAGTGATATTTCTTCCCGCAGTTCCAACATTTATATCTGCTTTTTTTTTTTGCCGGCATGGGTTTTCCTTTCATGAACTTGAATATTTCTCTGCTTGTATTTTTATCGAGGTTTCTTATTCTAGTTTCAACATTCATAATAGAATTAAAGTTTTTTCGTTTGCTTCTTGCAAATTTCTTCATTAAGCACAAACCCTACAAAATCATTAAAGTTTAACTCCATATTACCTGAAGAATTACTCACCGTAGTAACTAGTCAATCACAACCATCTGAAAATGAAGATAAGAGTAACAATGGTCATACCTCATCATCAAAATTCATACCAATATAACAAAACTATTTAGTACAGTGTTAAAATTATTCAAGTGTTCAACAACTAAACTACTATCCGCCATCTTCATATTGAATAAACACTTCCTCAGAAAGACTTTATTTGAAGCTGAAGTTTTCTTATACTTTCCTGTTAGTGTAGTCATCAACAATAGTATTTCATTCATAATGTTGAATGCGACAGATAAAGTAAGTGAAAGTCACCTCAAACCTAGTGTTATTCGATCAAGAACTTCCTTTTCGTCCAGAGTCGTCAATTCCATCTTTTTAGTGATTTTATTCAGTGACAAATATAGTTTATTTTGATATAACAAATCTTCAATTTTTTCTAGAAAGCAAAATTTAAATCATTGAACTTCTCAATCTTGTACCATGCTTCGTCGGCCATTGCTTATAACAGATCTTCAAAAATCCCGTTGTGATACCACTTATTGGGAAAGAGATACGTGGAAAACAAATTTGATATATCCAAAGCAAAATTTAGAACAGAAGCGCACAAGACAAAAAATCACAGAAAACACAGAGAACACCAAGATTTAACATGCAAAAACCAGAGAACGGGAAAAAACTATAAAGTCACACTACACTAAGAAGTCTAAAATGAAAAATGAGAAGAATTTTATAAGTTACACCACACTCAAATCTCTCTACACTGTTAGAACTCAAGAACACTCATTCCTCTCATTTCCACAAGAGAAATTTTGAAATCCAACTTTAACACACACAGATCCCGCCGTGAAGACTCAATTTAAAGCCTCAAACTGACCGAATGTGGTTATTGGTGTCGGGGCGCTACAATTGGTCACTGTGACGCCCCTTCTTGGTGCTGGGGCGTTGACCTCCTGACACTTGGGTGTCTAGTGCTCTGCTTCTGGACCTTTATTTGAACCTTGGTTGGGTGTTATGACACCCACTTTTGGCACTGGAGCATCGAGCGCTTGATTTCCAAGCTTTGGGGTACTACATCTGCGAAGCCCGATACAGGAAAAAAATTTATTTGGGGCATCGCCCTGAATCCAAAACTGAGGGCCACCCTCCCTGCCTAATGTTATTGGGTCAAGAACTTCCCGTTCTTCCATACTCGTTGATTCTGACTTCTTATTGATTCTATCCAATTACAAATTTATTTTGATATAACAAATCTTTAATTTGTATTTTCCTAAAAGCAAAATTCGAATCATTTAACTTAACCTTGTATCTTGCTCATCCGTCATTGCTCCCACTCAAACCAAAAATCTTCAAACACCCTATGATGCCACTGATTGGGGAAGAGATGTGCGAAAAACAAATTTTAGATATATGAAGCAAAACTTAGAACATAAGCACACAAATTTTTAATAACAAACCATGCTCTGATATAACAAATCTTTAATTTGCATTTTCTTGAAAGCAAAATTCGAATTATTTAACTTCTTAACCTTGTATCTTGCTCATCAGTCATTGCTCCCACTCAAACCAAAAATCTTCAAAAACCATGCTCTGACATCACTTATTGGGGAAGCGATGTGCGGAAACCAAATTTTAGATATATGAAACAAAACTTAGAATATAAGCACACAAAATAAGAAATCACAGAAGATACAAAAAATGTCAAGATTTAATATGGAAAACCCGAGAACGAGAAAAAACTATGGAGGCAAACCACACCAAAAAATACACTATTATGCAAAATAAGAAGATTTGTATAAATATACCACACTTAAACCTCTGTACACTTTTGGAACTCAAGAACACTCATCATCTCCTTTGCACAAGAGAAATTTTGAAATCCAACTTTAACACACATATATATCGCAATGAAGACGTAATTTTAGTCCTTGAACTAATCGATGGTTACTGACACCGGGGCACTGCGACGCCCCTTCTTGGCACCGGGGCTCTGACCTCTGGATGCTGCGGTGTTGAGAACTGTTTTTTGGGACGTGTATATGGACCTGAGTTGGGTGTTGCGACATCCACTTCTGGCACTGAAGCGCCTAGCGCTCGAGTTCCAAGTTTTTGGGCACTACAACTAGGCATTGCAAAACTCGGTACAAGACAAAAAAAATTTTCGGGGCCATCACCGTTGAATCCAAAACAGGGAGGACAACCCCCCGTACAAAAAGACTTTGTTTGAAGCTGAAGGCTTCTTATACATTTTTTTTAGTATAACTATTATATTAAAAGTAATATTTTCATTCAAAATGTTGAAAGTAATAGATGGGGAAGTGAAAGTCAGATTAATCATAGTATTATTTGATCTAGAACTTCCATTTCTTTTAGAGCTGCCAATTCTAGTTTTTTAATGATTTCATCCAATGACATAATTTATTTTGATATAACAAATCTTCAATTTACATTTTTCAGTAAACAAAATTCGAATCATTGAACTTCTCAACCCTATACCTCTCTTTCTCGGTCATTACAAAGATCTTCAAAAATCCCGCTCTGATACTATTTGTTGGAGAAGAGATACATGGAAAACAAAACTTACAACAAGAATGCACACAACAAGAAATCACAGAAAATACAGAGAACACTATGATTTAACATGGAAAAACACGAGAATGAGAAAAAACTACGAAGTCACACGGAAGAGATACATGGAAAACAAAATTGAGATAGCTGAAACAAAACTTGCAACAAAAATGCACACAACAAGAAATCACAGAAAATATAGAGAACACTATGATTTAACATGGTAAAACACGAGAATGAGAAAAAACTACGAAGTCACACTACACCAAGAAATCTAATATGAAAAATGAGAAGAATAATACAAATTTCACCACACTCAAATCTCTCTATACTATTAGAACTCAAGAATGCTTATTCCTCTCCTTTGCATAAGAGAAATTTCGAAATCAAACTTCAACACACATATCCCGCAACGAAGACGAAATTTTAGGCCTCGAACTGGCCGAATGTGCACCCCCACCCCCACCACATGCGTGAAACAAACTCATAGTCAAGAATAAACGGCGAAACTGAGGACTGTAAGAGCAACAACTCACCGTCAAGAATGAACAGCTAAATTGAGGGCTCTGAGTGAACAATTGATCAATGCAATTAGACTCCACATAATATTAGGAAGTAGCTATGACGGGGATATAGGTTTTATTGCTAGTAACCATATGAAAAAATGAATATTTGTATTATTTGATTGGCATCTTCAGATCAAGTTAATTATTTGATTTTATCATTAGCATTAAGTAGGAATGTGTATTTCTATTAATTTTAGGAGAATATGGTTTATAACATTGTATTTTGGCATCCATTGATATTTTTCCCTTAATTTTATCCAATAAATAGTAAATTTAATGTGCCTTTTGTTGATCTCCAAGCAATTGAATCTAATGTGAAAATTAAAGTTATTTTTAGTGCTCCCTAAGTGCATACAACAAATTCAAGCATTCAACCATTTTATTCTTCACAATATCCAAAAACAAAATCAACGCTTCAATTTTGCTCTCCTTAATATTTTGATTTTTGAGTGATAACTTTTGTCTCTTTATGTTAAGCTAATCTATTTGGTGTGCCTTTACAGGTGTATTTTGGTGGATGAGCATGACAATGTTGTTGGTCATGAGTCTAAATACAACTGTAAGTGATGAATCCCCATCTCAAACATTCTTGATTGCTTCTGTATGTAGAATTTTGTAACTATTGAGAGAAAAACAGGGGTCACTTATTTGAACTATTTTATTTTTTAATGTTTTATATGGTAAATAAACCGGATCAAGTTTCTTAAAAACACTAAATAGGCAGTGTTTTTTTTCTATTATTTAATTATTTCTTTTTTGGAAATTGATACTGTATTGTAATGCATCTCAAATCTTAATTCTAGATAATTTAGGACTATAATAGTATTTGGGCTTTTTTGGGACAAATTTTATTTATTTATTCATTTTTTAATATGTTTATTTAGTATGATTTAAACATATTTTTATTTCTTATTTTTAAAATCATGCTGTTACATACACTCAAAATAACATTAGTTGTTTTGAGTGTCCTTAAAAACATGATTAAATTTTAACATGTCAAACATGCTTTTCTTTTTCAAATTGATTCGCAAACAAACAAAAAAGAAAAAAAAAAACTTAAAATAAAAGAGAAAAAAATAAAGTAATTTAAAATGGCCCCTTGGTGATTTTTCTTAATCAGATTTGTGATTTAACTGTATGCTACAATCAGACAAGCATCTCAATATGGACTTTACTTTTCTTCCCTTTTTGGAATGCTAATATGTACAAATTCATCGTAGTCTGCTGAACTTTTATAATTTCACACAACTGTTTTCTCTGGATGCCAATTGCTCTCATAGATATTTGAAGATGCATGGGAACTCTTTTGGATTTTACAAAATAAAGAACCGTTGCTCCTTTTTTTTCCTTTCGTATTTTTTTTGAAGTATTTTTCCTTCCATCTCTTCTCTTTTCATTTCTAAAACTGCCACTCTAATTCATATAAATATAGAGTTGTGCTCCTCTTTCAAATCAACGTTATAAATTTCATTAAACATGTATAAGCGTCAGATTTTATGAGTTATTATATTCTTAGCTTGCAATGCTCTCTTTATCACATCTCACAATTGAACTAATTCAATTTACAAGCTATGGTTACTGCCACGTGGAAACTTTTCATCTATTTTTCTCTCCCACTTTTGCTTTTTTTAAGCGATCAATATCTTTGTTGAAATGTAGTTTAAGCGCGAACTCCTAATTGCAGTTTGACTGTTAAAATCTTTGAATTCCATTATTAAGGTTTTCCTTTCATGGCACCTAGTCTTCTAGTTCTGCCAAAATTGATGGAGATGTTAAAGTAGGGAAATACTGGTACATTATCTGGAGGTAATTAAAGATGGGTCATCTTCTTTCCCGCCCAGAAAGCATAATTTATGCTTTTAGTAGTTCGTCTTGATATTACTTGATTTTCAGCTGTTTGTCTGATCTGAGAGTCAAAAGCACTTTTTGAATTTTGATTTTATTTGTGTAATAGTGCATGTAAACTGAAGAAATGAATACGTTTGGTAAAAATTCTCTATACCTTCATTCATGAGTTGGGCTTCTATAGAGCCTTACAAACTTTTTACAAATAACCCCTAGGCTTCTTCTATAATTCTTTTTTACAATTAAACCCCTCAAAATAAGATACAAATCTCAACACTCCCCCTTAAGATGGGCAAAAGATATCCACTAAACCCATCTTATCACATAATCGAGACAAGTCTAATGAACTGAGTCCTTTAGTGAGGCAGTGATGGCTTATCTCCGGTTGCTACATGGCTTAGCTCCAGTAGCCCCTGCCCGTTATTCAATTTTTCCTTGATGAAGAATCTATCAATCTCCACTTGTTTGGTTCTATCGTGCTGCATCGGGTTGTTGGCAATGCTGATTGCTGACTTTTCATCACACCACGACTTCATTTGAGTTATTTGATCCACCTTGAGCTCGACCAACAAGGCTCTCAGCCACATTATCGCAGCAACTCCTAAGGCTATTGCCTTGTACTTTGCCTCTGCTGTTGACCTCACTACTACAAATTGTTTCTTGCTCTTCTAAGAGACCAAGTTGCCCCCTACGAACATGCTGTATCCTGCGGTGGATCTTCTGTCTTCTATGCAACTCGCCCAATCAGCTTCACAATAGTCCTCAATATTTACATGTTCATTCTTCTCTGGTGCACTCTTCAAGTATCTCAGAATCTGATACACTGCGTCCATATGACCCTTCATTGGATCATGCATATAACAACTCGCCACGCTCACTGCAAATGAGATATCAGGACGCGTGTGACTCAGATAGATCAGACGACCATGAAGAAAAACATTTTTCACATACACCTCCTCCAGTAACTCACCATGAAGAAAAATATTTTCACATCGGGTTGGTGTAACCTTAACTCACCATTTCTAGCCATAGAAATCAATGTTTTCACTATGCTCATCTTTCGCTATCGGTGCTAAGATTTCGTCATAGTCAATGTCATATGTCTGACTGTACCCTTTCCCCACCAATCATGTCTTATAACCCTTCATCTTTTCTTCTGAATTTTGTTTTATTATGTAGATCCACTTGCACCTCTGGTTTTTTCTTCACGTTATGTCCTTATCGAGAGCACCTAGTTCCTCTAGCATGTCAGCCTTCCACTTGGATCCTCCTTAGCTACTTGCCAACACTTGGGTATCGAGATAGTGTCCAAAGATGCAATGAATGCTTCTTATGCAGACGATATGTTAGAGTATAAGACAAATTGAGCAGTGTCATGTGAGAAATCAAAACAACCAGGAGAATAACGATCAGGTGAACGACTCGCATTACTGGGAGTGGGAGAAGGGTGAGGAACCATGAGAGTGGGAGAAGATAGGAGATGATTCTTATCACCTGGGTAATCAGATTCTAAAGTGAAAAGTGTAGGTGTCTCAGGAGTCGGGATAGACCGGGACAAGAGACTTGATGGCACACGTGTCGCGGCAGGCACTGCTCCCTAATGCTACCTCCTCATCGTATAAACTTGCAGCTCCCTTTAATCTTGAATCCTTCCACCTTCGGGCTCATTTTTTTCATTTTTCAGCTCCTCCCCAACCGATCCTTTCCACACAACAGGACAAGGCATCGTTCTCACAGGCACCAATCTCTGACCATCACTTCTCTCCCCCTCACACATACCTCCAGTATTTGACAAGTCATCAAAGGGTGAGGTACCTCCAGGATATAGTATAGTTCAAGCTCTCTAAAGGACATATCCATGCTCACAAATAGTTTCTTTTCTATCAGATTCCAACAATCATACCCCTTCTGGGTAGCAGAATAACCCATAAAAATACACTTCACAACTTTAGGATCTAGCTTCCTTACTAATGGTCTGTTGTCCTTCACAAAACATACATAGCTAAAAACCTTAAATGGGAGGATCTCACTATTATCTTCTTTTAACATCTGACAAGGTGACTTCCAATCTAACACTTTCGAGGGCATTCTGTTGATCAATTGAGGGACTGCCAAAATTGCTTGCCCCATAAGTGCTTTGGGACATTCATCGTAACTTTGGGACATTCATCGTAATCGTCATTCTTCGAGCTACCTCTAGAAGATGTCTATTCTTTCTCTTTGCTACTCCATTCTATGCCAATGTGTATGAACATTTGGTTTGATGTTGTATCATTTAAGATGCAAGTATTCTCAAACGCCTTGTTGGTATATTTTGTCCTATTATCATACCTCAGTACCTTCACTATAATATCGTATAGAGTTTGGATCGCCTTGTGAAAGTCTTTAAAACAGACAATCACATCATTTTTTTTCTTATCAGATATAACCAATTAACACGAGAGAAAAATAATCAATGAAAGTCACAAAAAATATATAACCATCCATTGAAGTTGTAGAACAAGGTCCCCATACATCTAAATGTAATAAATCAAAAACACGAGCTTTTATTGCTAGAACGAACATAAAAGCTCTTGGTATGTTTACCAAACTCATAGGAATCACACACAATTTTTTGTTTATTTGACTTTTTATACAATGATGGATACAAACGACTCAATAGATTAAATGAAGTATGTCTCATGTGTCTATGGTGCAGCAATAACACATCCTCCACACTTCTCTTAGATCCTCCTATTCCAGCATTCTCAACCATAAATGTCAAGGCTAAGTCCATACTCTCTCTATCCAAATACCGGAGTCCATTATGCCACGTGTCAGTCCTAAGTTTTCAGCCAGACCCCTTCTCTTGAAAGATCACCTTTGGAATATCAAATGGATCAATATATTCTAGTTTGAGTATAATGACACTAATGGTTAAAAGATTCACTGAAAAGTAAAAAATAAGTAAAATATTAAACAAAGTCATAGAATTAGTATACTTCACTGTACTCTTACCAATCACAAACTATGTTGTACCATTGGCGGTATGATTGCTCTCTCAAACTACTAGGTGAGTATAGAAAGAGAACTCATTAGCGGCACCTGTCACATGTCGAGATGCACCAGAATCTACTATTCATTTTTGTGAACTTGTGGTGGATATAGATGCAAGAGCATGTGTATCGCGAGCACCTTTGGCTGAGTGAGCATAACTAGCAGTGTTCACCTTGGATGACGATAAGGTGGATGCAACTTCATTCACATTACCTGTCGTTCTTTGTTTCTTCGACATCTCTAGTAACTCGTGATCCTCATTGGTAAAGACTCCCGCCGTCTCTCTCATTCTCTACTATCATCAGATTTGCCCGGTAGTCCCCTATTTTACCCCTTTTGCCCCCATGATTACAACCACGGATATTAGACTGTCCCCATCCGCCTGTCTCTCTCTCCTTGGGTCACTTTGAACAAGCCTTGCTCTGGTGTCATACTTCTCCACATTTGTAACACCTGCGGGTCTCCCTTTGGGCTCTTGCATACCTGAGCTTGACGCAGTCAAAGTTGATCGCGTACCTGGAAGTTCACTCATACCTCCCGCACTATCTCTGTCTCCTGACATCCTCAATTTAATTATTCCTCAAACTTCATCGATTTCTCATGCATATAGAACCAAAGTTCTCCTCTAATGCTATGATTTCATGAACATTGTACCCCTACCCTCCACTAAGCCACTCG